AAGGATGATCAGAGCTCTTCATAGCAGTTTGTTTACTTAATTACTGGAACGTGCAAGAAATAGATAATTCCAATAATCTCAGGAATGTTTAAAAAACTTCGCCGTTTTGAGGGGAATTCCATCGATACCAGGAAAAATTTTGACACGTTAAGGACTTCTGAGAACTTCTGGATAATTTAGGGAACATTTTCATGGAGGAACGAAAACTTCAGGTAAGTCCGGAGAAGTTCAGGGAAGTTTAGAAAGCATCCATTAAGTACGTCACGATAAATGTAGGGAAATCAACCCCCCCCCCTCCCCCTCTCCACTATCGTCACGTTTTTCCTATACTTAATGGATGCTTTCTAAACTTCCCTGAACTTCTCCGGACTTACCTGAAGTGATGCTCCCTTAGAGGTTTTAAGGGATGTTACATGACCATAAGTTTCGAAAACTTAAGGAAAATTTAAGAACTTCTGGATAGATCAATGAACTTCAGGAAAATTCTTCTTGGTTACTGATCGTGTTGTGGTGATCTCCAAGCTCAACGACGGCAAGCAGTACATCTGGGAGTTCGGATGTGGCTAGCTTCAGCATCGTAGAAGATCCGCGTGGAAATACTCTGCAGCGTGGTTTGCAAATTTCGATGCATCTGGCAGTTCATCAAAGAGGTCGAAGAGGAAGTCCCAGTTGAGGAAGACGTCACTGAGAAACCCGAGAATAAGGACGAGGAGCAAACCGAGGAAGAAGACGGAAAGGATGAAGAAGAATCCGAAGAGGAAAAACCCAAGACCAAGATGACCAAGAAGACCGTTTGGGACTGGGAGGTTATGAACGATAGCAAAGCAATTTGGACACGCAAACCTAATGATGTGACGGATGATGAGTAAACCGAGTTCTACAACTTCGTAGCCATGGACACACACTCACTTCATCGCCGAAGATGAAGTGACCTTCAAATCGTTGCTGTTCATCCCAAAGGTGCAGCCATCGGAGAGTTTCAACAAATATGGAACCAAATCGGACAACATGAAACTGTACGTCGGACGGGTGTTCATTACCGACGACATGATGCCAAACTATCTGAACTTCATTCGTTGTTGTTGTTGATTCCGATGATCTGCCGCTGAACATATCACCAGCAGCACAAGCTGATCAAGGTCACCCAAAAGGCGGTGGACGTACGAAAAGTTGTGGAAGAAATTCTCCACCAACATCAAGCTCGGAATCATGGAAGACCCAAGCAACCGTTCGCGTCTGGCTAAGCTGCTACGATTCTATTTCACACATCTATTTCATTGCTGGTGCTAGCCGTACTGAAATCGAGAAGACTCCATTTGGCGAACGTCTGCTATCGCGTGGCTACGAAGTCCTCTATCTGGAACACGAAGCCGTTGATGAATACTCTATCTCTGCTCTGCCCGAGTTCGATGGCAAGAAATTCCAAAACATTGCCAAGGAAGGTTTCGTCTTGAACGAATCGGAAGAATCCAAGGCCCGTTTCGATGAATTGAAGGCCGAATTCGAGGCTCTGCTAAAGTGCTCTGGTCTCGGGACGTCTTTCCAACTCCGTATGTGCCCTGGTTGCGTTCATGTTCGGTTTGGCTGGTAATATGGAAAGTCTTGCTTTGGCCAACGCTCACTAGAAGACTGATAATCCGTAACGTCAGTACTACCTCAACCTGCGCAAGACCTTCGAAATCAACTTCGCCACCCACTTATGCGTGAGCTGTTGCGCCGTGTGGAAGTCGATGCCAGAGATGTCGTTGCGAAGGATATGGCATTTATCGGAAACTGCAGACATTGCCGACAGCCTCGAGCGAATGATGCACCAGACGTTGGGTGTCACACAGGATGCACAACCGGATCCGGAGGAATTCGCCGAGGAAGATAATAGCGCCGACACTGAATAGCCGAATATGATGAGCTGTAAAATCTAGAGCGGAAAAGGAATGACTGGGAACCGTTTGCGAGGGGCATATGAATGAATAAATGTGTAGCTACTAGTAGGGAGAAAGGACTGATTTGAAGTTGATAAGCCAGTTGTATCCAGTAATTCCAATTTAGTCGTGGAAAGGAGCTAATAACTTCAAAGATGCATCGAAAACTTCTGAAAATTCTAGACTTTTAAAGATCTTGAAGAATTATTAATTATATTTGCGTTTCGATCCTGGGGTTGAGATCTTCATCAGGGCTAGTTTTAGTAGATCGTAACACTTTTTGCGCTAATCGGAAGACAGTACAGCTTCATATCCCATGAAGTAGGTCAATTCCAAAGACTTAAACGTCGGACATGAAACATCGTAGAGCTTTGATCCACCATTAAACTGAAAATCCAGTACCCAAAAAATTAGTATTTTGAAGTTTTGCTGATTGTACTGATTACAGACACTTTCCATAGTTACGATTATAGACGCTCCTTAAAAAGGGCGCATTGTTTTGTGGTGAGCGGGGTGCACATATGCATAATCAATGAGTAACCAGCTCTAAATTTACCATGAAAGCACTGTATCGGACATCACATATCGAAAAACTTTTGAAGATTGCAAAACTTATCAAAAAATCACGTGTCGGAGGATTTGGAATTGTTTAGGATTTTCATTGGAATCATTCGAGAAACTCGTGTGTGTGACAAATTTCTGAAACTCTGGGGCATTGCTATTTATCTTAGATCTCAGATTGGATCTTTGGTACTCCGTACTAAGTATAAGGTCAGAATTCCAAGCTTGAAGTAATACTCAAGATTCTAAGTGAAGTATTCGAGATATCGGAGATAAAATTGAAATTCAAATCAATTCAATCAAAATAGGTATTACTTAAACATATATTTTAAGGTTCCAATTGAATTCTCGGTTATTTACCTTATTCTCCTACACACTTATAAATAACTAATTTTACACGTGACGAAATCTATATTTGACATAAAGTATGAGACGTAAACATACATGTCATGTCAAATTAAGGGCTCCGAGACTGAAAAGATCGATACTCGACAAAAACTACGTTTGATTGAATTGAATTTCGCGTCTGTTATGAGTCAATTTTATGTCAAAATTGACGCTCGTATATGTCAGTCTCAGAGCACCTAAATTTACATCAATTTTTCTAAGTGTGTAGTTGTTTTCGATTCTCGGTTAATTCATAGATTTCCCGGTTTTCCCGATTCAGTGTCCACTACACTGAGAGTATAATACGAACTGTCACCACGATATTTTTACTAGCTTTCGACGTTGAAGAAATCGATGAGGTTACTCGAAAAATTGATGTAGCGGCGAAAGCTGCACAGCAAAATCATTATAAATTTGCACTTGGCACATTGATGTATTTTTTGCCCTGTGTTTTTACATTGATATTGATTTAATTTTCAACGAACAATGATATAAATTTACATGAACGTGTAAATTTCAGCTATAATTCGATGAATTTCAGATACTTAAATGTGTCATTTAATATTTAAAACCTGCTCCAGTTGGTAGTTGAAATTTACAAAATATTTGTTTCTGTGCGGAGAAACCATGCAATCCGACAAAATTTCCACTGTAATCGTCGTCAACACTGATGTTTTCTGTTGATGTTGATGTTTGGTTGAGAAGAAACAATACTCAAAAGCTTTCCCAGTACGTCAGTTCCTGGTAGCTGGGGAGAATGATGCTGATTAACAATTTCATCATTAGCCGGCGCCGGTGGTGTAATGGTAAGCGTGACTGCTTTCTCAACCCAATGGGTCTGGGCTCAATTCCAGCCGAGTTCGGTGGGATTTTTCTGAGGCATAAAAATCTCTTGTCACATCTTCCTTCGGAAGGGAAGTAAAAGCCGTTGGTCCCGGCCTATGTGTGTTAAATGGGTGTGATATCCTAGGCAGGTGTGGAAGCTACCTCCCTTGCACATTCGATTGCCATCAATGGATGGCAATCGATGTCCGTCGGTGATTGGCACTAGATTGCGGAACAGAGACCGACGTTAAATAAAGGAATGAAGAACAATTTCATCAATAATTTAAGTGGAACCTTACACTTACGCGATCAGGTTTCCTTTTTTTTTTTTTTTTTTTTTTTTTTTTTTTTTCCTTTGATTTGTTTTCCGTCAATCTTGTTTTCCGTGCTGAGCACCAATGCTACCGACGCCAGAGAGGCAGCTCCCACACCTGGACCCTACCTACCTATCGACCCATCAACTCATGAACCTGGGACCAACGGCTTTACTTCCCATCCGAAGGAAGGCGTGATCAGAGATGTTATGCCTCAGAACATCCCGGCGGCGCCGACTGGGATTGAACCCAGGCCTGCTGGGGTGAGAGGTAATCACGCTTACCACTACACCACCGGCGCCGCTAGGTTTCCTTTTGATGCGGGAATTTGTAAAATAGTGGAAGCAACAGCTATAGTTCTATTATATTCATTCATTGATCAAAACCCTTAGTCCATTCAACTAACAATAAGGATTACGAAACCAAAAGTGATATAATACTCTAAATTTGACACCCCTTACCCAGATCGCATAAAGCTAAATACCACACATTCGACATACACCTCCAGATCTCACCGAATCATTTCATAACTTTGTTTGAGACCTGCCTTCTCAAAAAAAGATACAATGCCACAAACAACCGTTAATGTACCATACAAAACGAACAAAACACAACACCCGAATCTGCCGGAAATTCGGAACACAGGAAGACCGTCCAAAAATTAAAAACTACCTCCGCATTCAAACACATACTAACTCACTGAGACGCTGTTGATGGTGAAGCCGCCGCCGCTGCTACTACACGACACGGTGATTAGTGAAATCAAACAGTCATTCAATCAATCAATCGCGGCCCGTCAAAAGATCTGCCTACCCAACGCCACACCGGCCATTCGATCACTCGCACACTGTATCGATCGCTTTTAGTCATAATCGTTGAAACCATTTGCCGATTGAATTGTACTTTTCGGCACAAATTGTATAACCACACATCGCACAGCAGGAAACATGCATTTTACTAATTCGGTTTGTTTTTTCGACTTATCTCTCCACAGGCAAAGCTATGAAAAAGATCCGACGATGGCTGCTGGCTTTTGCGGGTAAGTGCCGATGATTTATTGATTAAGATTGCATAATAGCCATTCAGATAAACCTGCCATTCGTTAGAACGTTTTCTCCTCCCCCAGCCCCCAGCAAGCAATATCCGCCTCATCAATTCTGTAACCCCAATCAAGACCAATTAAATCATCGAACATCTCAATGCCAAGGCCGCCGGCGGAAACCCCTGTCGAACGGGTTTCCCTGTCGAGTTTAGGCTTCTACGGGTGATGCTTCTTAACTGTTTCACAGGAAGGAGAATTAAAGCTTATTGCGAAGCGCTGAGTGCGAGATCCCATTTCGGTTCGCAAGGTGGGAATTTTCCGCTCCGTCACGATGGCGGTGATATTAATTCGTGGAAGCGTTTCAAAACCGACCAGATTCGATTGCCCCGCGCGCTTGTGCCACCGTCATCGGTCGCAGAATCGATGACAATGACATTGAATAGCAGTGCGCGGTGGCGGATCCGGATTGGCGGCGTGTTGCTTCGTTCCTCGAATCTTCCGCTGCGCTCGTATCTTTCAGTCTAGGGTGGTTCAAATGGTCCATTTTGCTTCACTCCGAGCAAATTTAAATAAATCAATTGATAATGTTGTCGAGCAGTTTTGAGATGACCTTCTACCAGCCATTTTAATTTAAATTAAGCAATACATTCTGGATTTTCCTAGTTGAGCATAAATAAGACCCTATTTTCTCAAGGGTCTAGAAGAACTCTTTTTCAAAATATTGTGCCTCGACAAAATTAAAGCAACCTGTCTGTATTTTAGGGAAATACAAATTTTGTAACTTGGTATCTGGAGTTGTTAAGATGTTGATCTGACATGACCACTACTTGAACTACACTGGTGAACCTGGCGCGACGAATACTGTTCACTTCTAAATCAATCGATAATTAAGCGATGTTGCTGAGAAAATTTTCCAATACTTTTTCAGAATGCAGCAAAATGAGCTCAAATTTTGGGAAGATAATCAGGTTCTAATTCTGAATCGATTGAAGTAAAAATAATACATAATTTGAACCACCCTAACATTCACTCATCACGCATCTTCCCAGGAAATAATGATGTGACTCCCCAGCATCAGGGGAGGCGGTGCTTTGCCTTTCCTCGTGCTGGCCACTCTAGACTCGTGCGGTGTGATAAGACCAGGTGTAAAATTTATTGGGGAAACAACAAACGCCAACCGCCGCCCGGTAGGCAGGCCCCGATTGATCAAATAATGCGTGTATGGTCTTTGTTCGGCGTGAATGAAGAAATCAATTAATCATCTGTGTTTTCTACACTGTTTCTTTCTTTCATGGCCATCCACTAGCGTGAATCCGTTCAAATTGATTGCATAACGAGTCAATCAATAGCAATGTTAAGGTCTGCGTAATTCATTACTGTGTCAACTTGTTTATCGCCGGTAACAGCAACAGGTATATTTTCTGTTCAACGTGTGCAATTATTTTTTGTGTCAAGGAATCAAGCATTTTGCAAAATAAAGAGCTTTAAATTATGATAATCATTACTAAGTAAATACTAGAAATCCAAAGAGGGAGAGATGGACGGAGAAAACAACATACAACTCGGCAGCAGGGTTTTGTAGTATGTCAAATATTTGCAAACCTTACCAGAATGTAGCGTTTCACATGACTTTTCCCTCCCATTCAATGTACGTTTTTCTTCATCTTCGCATTTCAAGTTTATTGCTTATCGACGTATTTCGCGCCAAACAAATCGAAGCTGGCAACACCCTCTCAGATTTCAATGAAATTTTCTAGATATATAGACTTTGACTAAAGAGCACTTTTGCATACTCAGTTTTTCCAAAATTTATCTAGACTAACATTTGAGGAGAGCCAAACTTGTTCTGCCAAATTTTTTATTCAAAAAAATATTATGGAAAAATGACAACTAAAACAACCAAGTTTTTGAAAAAAAATACGGCAGGAACCGTCCACTCCATATAAAATGTGTAGCTCAACAAGCTCATTCATAAGGACACACGCTCCCCGGACGATAGTTTCTCGCGTACAACTTGCAGTATGTCGCAAAATGCGACTCCCAGCTCAGCCGCAGTGAAGCGGATGAAGTTTGGAGAGGATGACGACAGCGCTCAAACCAAACTACTTAGCCACGATCCATTCGCGCCATTGGCCGGAAACACCGAAGAACAGGGAACTGGTCCTTCAACAACGCCATCGGATCAGAAATTTGGCAAAAGTAAGCAGCCGCCGCTAGTGGTGATGAACGTGGATTTCTCTACAATTACACAGTCGGTGTTGAAGACCGGCGCTAGAGCAGTCTTCAGGATAACTTGTTTCGGCACAAGCATTTTGTGCAACTCGGCAAAAGATTTCCCCATTGGGTCGTCCTCCCTCACACACGAATGAAGTGGAGTGACTATACAAGTCATTTTCTTTCCAATGCCGCTCAACTTACTTATGCTTATATCATATCGTATAAGTCAACCGCCCGCAAGAAATTGAGTGCAGTTTGTTCTGTACTACTGTCGTTGAACAATACCTCACGGATTGAACCAACGACACCCATATCTTCCCTCAATTGTGCTCTTGCCGGGCACTCTACCAATAGATGATTTACATCTAAAACAGCACCGCATCCCTGGCAGTAGGCCACACTGCCGCTAAAACGAGGTCCATGAGTGAGCCGTGTATGACCAATCCTCAGCCGAGTCAGAACTTTCTGATCTCGAGAATTAGGTACATCCTTCCACTCTTGTGTAGTATTCTTGATTCTACGCAGGAATGCATCACGGTTGTTATGCCAAGACACATTCCATGCGTATCGCGAGGTCTGCTTCACCCAGCCGGTAGCGTCACTATAGGGCACCGGAGAGGCCTCTAGCTGAGCAAGGCGACCCTGGTTAGCTAGTTTATCAGCAGCCTCATTTCCTGGTATACCTGCGTGTCCAGGTACCCATACAAAGGTTATGTTAGCGTACCGCTGCACCTCTAACAGCCACGGGTGTCCAACCTGCCCATGCTCCAGGGCAGAGAGACAACTCGCAGAGTCAGAGACCCATTTGCTAGCCTACAAGCTTGCAGGAAACCATAGGCCTCAGCTGAGAAGATACCACAGAGACCGGCCGCAGCGGCTTATGGCCTCCCCAGACACCCCATAACCAACTTCCTCTTCGATTAATGAACCGTCCGTAAATAGCATGGGCCTTCCCTCGTATGAGGCAGCGACCTCTCTAAATGCAGCTTTCGCCACATCAGAGCTGGCCCCCGCCCCGCACATAGCTTTAACCCTCCAATCAACTTTCGGGGCAGTAGCATCCCATGCCCGTTGCCACAGCCTAGCTCGCTGGGCTAACGTGGGAAAATCTACTCCCGTCAAGTCGCTCCACCATCCTCTCGCCCTTGCAACCGTGGGCCTGTCATTGAGGATGGGATCCCTTTCTAGTAACCTCAGCGCCTTGGTGGCCAGGTCTTCGGTGACAACATGCACCAAAGGAACCTTTCCATTCTCCACCAATAGAGAAACTATCGGTGAAGACCTCAGCGCTCCGCTACAAATTCTGTACGCCCCATTGTACTGAGGTTCCAGAATCTTGAGCAGGGAGACACCACCCCTGCTCCACAATTCCGCCTCGTAAAGGATGCTAGGGACAATCAGAGCCCTAGCAACCTTGGTCAATGTACTACGAGAGGCTTCAGAGAAGCGACCATTTAGGGTCCGAAGGATGTTCAACTTGTTGTTGACGTTATCCTTCACCAACTTGGCGTGCTTAACAAATCGGAGTTTGTTATAAATAGTCACACCAAGCAGTTTCATCTCGCGTACGGCCTTGACCGCATGCTCACCGATACTAACAAATGGCAGGCTCGGTCTGTGGTGATGACGAAAGCAGACGTGCAGCAGTTTGGACTTCTCGGGGGAAATCACAAACCCAACACCATCTGCCCAGTCAACGACAGACTATTTACCTAACACGATAAGGGTAATATCATCGGCGTATACAAAAATGTATACTTCCTTAGGAATGCGTTCAAACACTGAGTTCATCGCAATGAGAAACAGTGTAACCGAGAGGACAGACCCTTGCGGGATGCCATTCTCCAGCAACCTCGAGGAAGAGGTTGCGCCAGCGTTCAATACTCGGAACCTACGGCTCTGTAGAAAGTTTTCTACGCAGTTAAACATACATCCTTGGAAGTCCCAGCTCTTGAAGGAAGTCAAGATAGGATGCTTCCATGTCATATCATATGCCTTGGACAAATCGAGGGAGACTACATCTACATGCAAATCTTCCGACGAGGCCTTGTCCAATAAATGATCGAGCTCAGAGAAGAACGTCTCCGATCCATAGCCGCATCGAAATGCGTGTTGCTGTGGGTGGATTCATCCTTGCCTCTCCAGCTCAGTTGACAGACGACGGTTAACCATCCGCTCGAATGTTTTTCCCATGCAGCTCAGCAGGGTTATCGGTCGATAACCATCTGTTAGGGTTTTATCCTTCCCAGGTTTGGGAATAGGAATAACCAACCCTTCTTTCCACTCGTCCGGTATCTGGCCAGAAAGCCAGACTTCGATCATAGTGTCAAGATGAGCCAATCGGCCGACAAGACGTAATCTCCTAAGCAAGGGATACCCAATGTCGTCAGGGCCCGCAGCCTTACCAATGTCGCGGCGCAGGGCCCAGTTCACTAGTAGCACCCTTGTTATAAATAGGTCTTGGAAACTTATATACGACTTATTTCAGTTATAAACAAGTTGCTGCAACTTGTTGGGACAGAATTGTGCTACTTGGGTTGAGCTCTTCAAGTTCGAATACCCTGTTGTAGTCTTTAACAAGACTACACTGCCTGTCACGGGAGTAGCGGTACTCCCCCTCACCGACAGATGGGCGACCACTCAAGGCCGTTCTGGAAAGAGTCGAAAATTCTAAAGCAGAAGCCGAGAGCGATACCACACCTTTGAGCTGTCCTGTATACCTGGTCAGGTTGATGAGGAGCTACCTTAGCGAACGTCATTTTCGTTCGCTTGCTGAGTCC